CAGGGGGCTCAAACTCGCAGCCCGGGGGGCCAGTTGCCGGGACGGGTGGGGCACGGGGAAGGGGCACTGTGGCCTTCAAAGCGCCAGCAGCGCTCGGGCCGGCCACGGGATGAGCGGCCCACCACCTCCGTGGTGGTGTAATCCTTGATGCGGCCCAGCCTCACCCAGCCTCTACTTCCAGCGGCCCCCAGGTAAGTTGAGTTTGAGACCCCTGCACTAACGTAACATTATTAATATAAATTCTAATAAGTGGTGCCTTGTACTTCAAACTTAATTTGTTTCAGGAGGCCATATTTGCTGTTTTAAGTTTTATCGAAATGGGTATCGTTTAGGGTCTGGGAATGGATTAATTCACTTTCCATTATTTCTAATGGGGAAAATTGATTTAAACTTCAAATAATTCAGTTCAAGCAGCCCTCTGAAATGAATTAAGTGTGAAGTACAAGGCACCACTGTATTTTGATGAAGTTCTTCTCCTTATGGGTAAGGCAGGCATGTGTGCAAAACCATGATTTAAAGCTAACCTTACTGACTAGTGATTTAGATTATAATTTAAAGTGATTTGAATTAAATCGAATCCACTCTGCTGGGTACCCAGGGGCTTGAAGGGATTGCCCGTCCTGGGTGTTTCACTAAGTCTCTCTCTGTTACTGTTTAGTTTGAACTGTTTAAATTTTAATATTTTTATTTTATATATTTTATTGTATTTTAATGCCTGTTTTATGGACTGCCATAAACTGCTGACAGAGTTTCAACTGTGGGTGGTATAGAAATGAATTAAGCACAAACAACATAAACTTCACTTTGAAGGACTGGATAAAGTTTTAAGACATCTATAAAACCCAAAATAGATAAACTAAAACATTCAACAAAATGTTTTAGGGTACTTGAGAGTGACTGGAATTGCATGTAAAGTGATGGAATCTAGACAGATTGAAGTTGATTTTTTAATTGCATTTGATTGATTGTTTAGCAATATTAGAAAGTGTTGTCTCACTGGCATAGTACAATTTAGAAAGGAGTTATTAACTGCTCCACTGAGATATTTTACTCTTTCCTAATAAAAGGTAGTAAAAGTCACTTAATCTTACTATTCCCTGTTTGTTTATCTGCTTCTGCTTCTGTGTTTATGCTTATCTGATCTATACTTCCTGCTTCAAATGTGACAACACCATGCATTTAATGTCATGGATCAAGATCATGTTCTTGAAGTGTGTGTGTTATGCACAAAAATAACACTGAAGAGACAGCAGTTATGAGTACACCAAAAGAGAAAGGTTGGGAGGGGCATTTAAGCATGTTTTTGTAGTCACATGCCAACCTACTGCAATGCTTGAAAGATTCCTAATTACACAGCACATCAAAACCATTTTGTAATTTTAGAAATCTAAACCAGTAATCTTTATGAAAGAACACAGTACTTTTGTTGTATTGGCATAGGATTGTAGCCTTGGTTTTCAGTTATGCATTCCTAAATAATGATTTTATATTTAGTTGCTTACATGTATGTAAATATGTGTATTAGCACAGTCCAAATTTTTTAACAGTCAGGTAAATTAAAAGTTATTTTTGCACTTGAATAATGTAATGCTTTCCTTTCTCTGTTCTAAATATTTTTTAAATACTATCCATCTACTTTTTCAGGATGTATGAGAAACTGAAAAGCATCAAGCAGCTTTAAGCAAAGTAACATTGCAAATACTATATGTAAATACGTTTTGGTGGAAAAACATTACTTAGTGTGCTCCTGTGGGAGGGGCAGAATCTTATAGCCTCCTTGACTGCCACTTTTTGGTAGATAGGTGGAGTATAAATCTAATAAATAATAAAACAAATAAATGTAGTGGTTTTCTCTTCTTTCCCCTAATAAAGTTAATTTGTTTGGCAAGAATTAAGGCTGTGGTGTTTCATACACTTGTAGCAATTTATTAATAATTTACCAAAGCCTCTTTTCCTTAGTCTCAGTGTAGTATTTCTTTAATGTTGCGTCTTTTTCCTGTATGCCCTAACTTTAACTATGAGGACACTCCGACATGATGTAGAATGCTGTTTGAAACACAGCTTGTCTTAGTCCTCATGTCCCTCTGCCAAAATAACTCACTCTCTCATCTCTCTCTATATTGAACTCCATTCTTTAAACTGGCCCTATACATAAGCCACCAAAAGTTACTACAGTATATCACAGAAGTGTGTACACCCTTCACATTTTGTAAATATTTTATTATATCTTTTCATGTGACAACCCTGAAGAAATGACACTTTGCTACAATGTAAAGTAGTGAGTATACAGCTTGTCTAACAGTGTAAATTTGCTGTCCCCTCAAAATAACTCAACACACAGCCATTAATGTCTAAATTGCTGGCAACAAAAGTGAGTACACCCCTAAGTGAAACTGTCCAAATTGGGCCCAAAGTGTCAGTACTTTGTGTGGCCACCATTATTTTCCAGCACTGCCTTAACCCTCTTGGGCATGGAGGTCACCAGAGCTTCACAGGTTGCCACTGGAGTCCTCTTCACAGAGCTGGTGGATGTTAGAGACCTTGCGCTCCTCCACCTTCCATTTCAGGATGCCCCACAGATGCTCGATAGGGTTTAGGTGTGGAGACATGCTACCACCTTTACCCTCAGCTTCTTTAGCAAGGCAGTAGTCGTCTTGGAGGTGTGTTTGGGGTCGTTATATTGTTGGAATACTGCCCTGCAGCCCAGTCTCCGAAGGGAGGGGATCATGCTCTGCTTCAGTAAGTCACAGTACATGTTGACATTCATGGTTCCCTCAATGAACTGTAGCTGCCCAGTGCCGGCAGCACTCATGCAGCCCCAGACCATGACACTCCCACCACCATGCTTCACTGAAGGCAAGACACACTTGTCTTTGTGCTCCTCACCTGGTTGTCGCCACACACGCTTGACACCATTTGAACCAAATAAGTTTATCTTGGTCTCATCAGACCACAGGACATGGTTCCAGTAATCCATGTCCTTAGGCTGCTTGTCTTCAGCAAACTGTTTGCGGGCTTTCTTGTG